CAATGCAGCTCTACCTAATACACAGAAACAAACACAGGGAGGCTGCCAAATTGAGGAGACAAAAGAAATATGGCCCAAATGAAAGGAGAACAGGACAAAACCCCAGAAAAAAGAAATACATGAAATGGAGAGAGTCAACTTATCAGATGCAGAGTTCAAAACACTAGTAATCAGGATGCTCAGAGAACTCACTGAGTATAGCAAAAACATAAAGGAAGAAATGAAGGTTGCAATAAGTGAAATAAAGGAAAATCTACAGAGAACAAACAGTGGAGAGGATGAAGCCGAGAATCAAATCAACAATTTGGAACACAAGGAAGAAAAAGCATTCAATTAGAATAGCAGGAAGAAAAAGTAATTTAAAAAAAAACAATGATAGGTTTAGGAACCTCTAAAACAAATTTAAACATACCAATATTCAAGTCATAGGGGTGCCAGAAGGAGAAGAGGAAGAGCAAGACATTGAAAACTTATTTAAAAATATAGTGAAAGACAACTTCCCTAGTTTGGCAAAGGAAATAGACAAACGAGTCCCGGAAGCACAGAGTCCCAAACAAGTTGGACCCATAGAGGTCCATACCAAGACACATCATAATTAAAATGTCAAAGATAAAAGAAGTAGAGAATCTTAAAAGCAGCAAGAGGAAAGCAGAGAGTTACCTACAAAAGAGTTTCCATAAGACTAGCTGCTGATTTCTCAAAAGAAACATTGCAGGCAAGAAGCGACTGGAAAGAAATATTCAAAGTGATGAAAAGCAAAGACCTACATCAGGGGTGTCAAATTCATTTTCACCGTGGGCCACATCAGCCTCATAGTTGCCTTCAAAGGGCCCAATGTAATTTTAGGACTGTATAAATGTAACTGCTCCTCAACTAGAGGCAAGGAGCTCGGTGCTGCCACCGGGTAGAAACAAGGTGCCTGGACAGATGAAACAAGGTGGAGGGCCAGATTTGGCCCACAGGCCTTGTGTTTGCCACCTGTGACCTACACACAACCCAGATTATTCTACCCAGCAAAGCTATCATTTAGAATGAAAGGGCAGAGAAAGTGTTTCCCAGACAAGGTACAACTAAAGGAGTTCATTGTCACTAAGCCATTATTATATGAAATGTTAAAGAGACTTATTTAAGAAAAAGAAGATCAAAACTATTAACATTAAAATGGCAACAAATGGCCTTGGCTGGTGTAGCTCGGTGGATTGAAAACGGGCCTGCCAACCAAAGGGTTGCCAGTTCAATTCCTAGTCAGGGCACATGACTGGGTTGTGGGCCAGGTTCCCAGTAGGAGGCACATGAGAAGCAACCACACATTGATGTTTCTTTCCCTCTCTTTCTCCTTCCCTTCCCCTCTCTCTAAAATATAAATAAATAAAATCTTTAAAAATGAAGATAAAATAAAATGTCAACAAATTCACAACTATCAAGAACTGAATCTAAAGAACCAAACTGAACAAACAACCAGAACAGGAACAGAATCATAAATATGGAGATCGTTTGGAGGGCTATCAGCTGGGATGGGGAATGGGGAAGAATGGAGGAAAAGGTTCAGGGAATAAGAAGCATAATTGGTAGGTACAAAATAGACAGGGGGAGGTTAAGAACAGGAAATGGAGTAACCAGAGAACTTAGATGCATGACCCATGGATGTGAACTAAGGGAGGAGATTGATGGAGGGAAGAGAGTACCAGGTGGAGGGGTGACAAAGGTGGAAAAATTGAGACAACTATAATAGCATAATCAATAAAATACATTTTAAATAAATAAATAAACAGCCTGGAAGAACCACAGGTGCTACTTGCTATGTTTCTTCATTGCCAAATTAGGAACTCAAGAGAGATTTGCAATGTATGTACATCAGTAGAAGGGAACTGGGTTGTCATAGGCCTCCCTTAGGGTTGGATCTTAATTTCACCTTATTAATTAAGGGCCTCTATTACTCCTTCTTGAGAAAGAAGCCACCTCTGTCACACATTATGGGGCCAAGGTAAGTTCTGCAGAGTCTGCCTCCATCTCAGCCCTCAGAGCTGACCCCCAAGCTGCTTCTGGGGGGTTACAAATGTTAACACATGAGCTGTAATGCTAGATGCACAAGAAGCAGATGATTCAGGCAGGGCTGGCACATACAGGAGGAGCACCAGGGAGTACTGTCCCAGTCCCTCCAGTCTGGGGTCTGTCCTTCCCTTCCTCAGCCGCAAGCCTTGAGGTGCACAAAGGTGTTAAGTAGGCTCTCGTTTAACCTCTCTGTGCATCTCCTGCCTGAATCTGGTCTCCAGGTTCCTTGGACACTGAGAAAGCAAAGACAAAGTGAGCATATGTAGATCCAGTGATATACGTTAGATCCCTTGGGCCTGGCTAAGACAAGAATTGTTCTCTTATAGGGAAGGAGGCCTTCGGGATCCATGAGGCAATCAGTCAATTAATAGCTTCTTACCATTTGCTTTGTGCAAGGACCTATGGGGAATACCAGGTCTATAGGATGAGTTAAGCCATCAGGTAGCTTAAATCATATGGGGACTATCTCCCTCCATGAGGCAAGTTCAATAATAATGCAAGACAACTGCAGGCAGAAGAGCAACGTGATTAATTGGCATAGGAGGTTTGTGTGTTCAGAGTTAGAAGTCTCTATAAGATGAAGAGACTGGGAAGGTTATTTGAGAGCTGATCTGGGATTAAAGGGGGTCAAGAAGGAGCTACCCAGGGAAGGCAAAGGGACAGCAGATTGAACAAAGACAGCAGTCTCCTCTGTTGCTGTGGAACAAATTATCACAAATGTAATAGCTTAAACTATAGCTGTATTTTAATCTAACAATTTCTGTAGGTCAGAAGTCTGTGAGTAGTACAACAGATAGGTTCTCTGCTTAGGGTCTCACAAGGCTGAAAACAGGGTGTAAGTGGGGCTGTGTTCTCATCTGGAGCTTGTGGTCCCCTTCCAAACTTACCCAGGTTGTCAGGAGAATTCCACTCGCTTCCTTGCAGTTGTAGCTCTGAGGTCCCCATTTTCTTGGTGGTTGTCAATCAAGAGCTGTTCTCAGCTTCTGTAGGCCTCTTACCCTTCCTTACCAAATGACTTTTTTCCAAAACATGACCATTTTCTCCTTCACAACCAGCAGGGTAAATTCTCATGCTTTTTGAATCTCTCTAAATTAAGGGCCCAGTCCTTTTTAAGGAATTACCTGATCAGATCAGGCCCACTGAGGATAATCTCCCTTTTCATTACTTCAGTCTCTTGATTAGTAATCTAATCAGAAGAACAACATTATACCAGATTCACATGTTTGGGCTACATTCAAAAGGAGGGGATTCTACAGGGACATCATAATGGTGAATTTGCAGGATCTGTTGTCCTTCCGTCTAAAATGTTCTTTTATCTTTTCTCATGGCCTGGCCCCTCGTACTCCTCTCCTTTCCGTGCCCAGCCTGTGTTGGTGTACCCCTTCTTGACAACCTCCATTATCCTCAAACATGTCACACAGCTTATTTCATTCATGATATTCTTCATTTTATATTAACATTTTTTGGTCCAATTCCAAGTTCCATAGGGGCAGGGATGATGTCCCATTTGCACATCTCTATATTTCCAGAATAAAGCCTGGCATATAGTAGGGACTCAATAAACATTGAATGAAAGGTTAAGTGAATGAGTGAGAAAATTATATGGAAAGGCCAAGGGAGAGCCAAAAGGCCTGGGTAGTGGGTGTAGATTTCTTAAAGAATGGCGGGAGATGTAACCAGGTTAAGGAATGTGAGGAGATAGGCAAATATATTTCAGATAGCTTGAGTCTGAGATGATTGTGAAGCAAATGTTTAGGTAGTAAGTCCAACAAGAAGTATATGTGAGGAGTTGCCACAGAAAATACAACAATGTCTCCTGGCTGGTGTGGCTCAGTGGATTGAGTGCCTACCTGCAAACCAAAAGGTCACTGGTTCAATTCCCAGTCCGGGCACATGCCTGGGTTGCAGGTCAGGTCCTCAGCTGGGGGTGTTCAAGAGGCAACCAATTGATGTTTCTCTCCCTCTCTTTCTGTCTCCAGTACCTGCTCTCTAAAAGTAAATTTTAAAAAATACAATAATGTCCAACAAGAATAAAGAATTATGCTTTGACCATGTGAAAGCATGTGCATTAGACTGAAAGTTTGTGTCCCCCCACCCAATTCATACTTTGAAATACTAACACCCAAAGTGATAGTATTAGGAGGTGGGATCTTTGAGTGGTAATTAGGTCATTAGGTACAGAAATCATGAATGATATTGTGCTCTTTTAAAAGAGACCTCATGGAGCTCCCTCACCCCTTTCACCATGTGAGGACACAGTGAGAAGACGACTGTCCATGAACCAGGAAGTGGACCTTCACCAGACACCGAATCTGCTAGTGCCTTAACCTTGGACTTCCCAGTCTTCTGAACTGTAACAAATAAATGTTTGTCATTTAAGCCATCCAGACAGTGGTATTTGTGATACAGCAATCCGAACAGACTAAGTCAGGATGAAAACTAAATTTTACTTCATTGGATATTATTTTTCTCTATTTTTAATATCTCTGCTGTTTGGAATGGTTGTCACTATAAGAGTTGGAATTTATATTAGAATAACAGCAGATGTAAATACCTATGTGGACATAGTTTTATCATTATCTGAAGAACTGTGGGAGAAAGGAAGGACACACACCCACACCCAGAGTCTTCAGGGTGCAGGGTGGAGAACACAGTGCGTGCACCTGCTGGGCCATCAGTCAAGACCCAGCAAGAAGCTCTCCCGCAACCCAGTGCTCCTGTGCTCTTTTTAATTCTCTCTCCTTTTCTCTGATCACCCCTCCCAATGAGTTCTTCATCTAATCTATCTTATCTCAACCTTTCTACTATTTTCACCATTTCTCTTTCTCCATCAAAATCATTTTTCTCTTGCCACATTTATCAACCTGATTGTTTCTCTAAAACTTCCTTCAACTTGTCTCCCCTGCCCTTTCTCACCGTGTCTATTCTCTCTCCCCTTCCTTTTACAGGTACACTGCGGTGGTCATGCCAGTTCACTACCAACATGGCACGGGACAGAGCTCCTGCCGGCGGGTGGCCCTCATGATTACAGCTGTCTGGGTACTGGCCTTTGCCGTGTCTTGCCCTCTCCTCTTTGGCTTTAACACCACAGGTAACAGTGACGGCCTCACTTCCAAAACCCATGTGACTCATAGCACACGTGAGGGGCTGCAAGTGGAGCTCAGCCCTGAAATTTCTGACCCCTGGTCAATGCACTTTGTAATCCAATGAAGACGCTATAGAGTGCAAAGCTTTGACCCTTGTTGATTATAATAAAACATAAAGCAAACTTCAGCAATTACTAGCACAAAGATAAAGTTCTGCCCAAATTAATGAAAAATCTGGCTTATTCCTACATTGAAAGAAATGTCATTGTATTCATTTGAAAAAATGTACCAGTTAAAAAATTAAATCATATTAATAATTCAGATGAGGTTTGCTAATGAAAAGATGACTCTTCATAATTGACTTACAATGCAAAATAACATATCATAAAAGCCCTGGAGTAGGATACACATTTTGAGCCTTTGCTTGATAAGAATCATCTCTAGCATTGGGGAACTACTATAGATTCCTAAACTATTGATGGGTGTATTTCCATCAATATACTTATATACTGATAAGTATATACTTATACTTATATTTTAACATACAAAAATTTTGCCTATTCTTGTTGGCACATGGTACATCTTCTACTGAATGGATGGATGGATGGACAAACAATGTGTATATCAAGATATTTGGGATTTTGACATAAAACACCAATCCAAATTTATACCTCTGTGGATCAATGCCCTCTGTGTCTGTTCCATGTCCATGTGTTAGCCCCAGCAATTTCATGTGTTGAGTGAAAACTATTATCACATACAGAAAAGTTACAGGTTTTGGTGATAAATACTGAGTCTTTGCTGAGCAAACTGATTGACTCTTGCTCTACTGTTATTTTGGATTTCTTATTTTGTCCACCTGAATCGATCCATTCCATTTCTATTATGTTGCAGGTTTATGAATTTCTAGTATATGTACAAGTCACATAGCTAGCTGTGTGTTTATGTGGGTACAGATATATGTAACACATTACATATAAATACAAGCAAATTCTAACCTATAAATAATCTTCAAAGAGTCATTTGCTGGACAAGAGTTTAGAAGTCAGAACACATTTAGGAAGACAGACAGAGGTTCTGGAGTCAGAACAACCTACATTGAAGTTCCAGTTTCACTATTTACAAGCTGTGTCTCCTTGAACAAGTAAACTTTTTTGACTGGTTTCCTTATTGATCAATAATAGAGTGGAGCATAAACTTCAGCAGATTCAAATATGTAGACTCAGTCTATATATTCAGTTACAAAGTTTTCACATTTGTTTTTATAAATGACTTCCTGCAAATAAGCCCTACAACTCCACCTCTAAAATTACAGGTTGCACTTTCAACTCTTTATAATGTATGACATATTGTTGTATGTATCATTCATCTTAGCTTATTACTGTTCAGGGCTGTAATCAAATCATGTATATCTTCATATGTGATTCAGAGGATTCTTCAAAGGAAATTTTTACTGTACTCATTCATTGACTTTAGAATCTAACCCTACATATATATAATTCCACTCTACCTCCTTCATAGACTTTTACAATTAAATGAGGATTAAATTGGGATAACATACACAGACATGTCAGTACATACCACCTGTTCCAAGTGGGGCTTGTTTATCTGCCACATGAAAGGCTAAGTAGACAAGTTATCCAACAAATACTTACCTGGCATTCCTAAAATATGATGTTATTGTCATCTTTGCATTACTCTTTACCGTGAGTTACTTTGTTGTTTTCACTGAATGGCATTTATATACACAAGTAAGTGTACACACGCCTCCCAAAAAAACATTCCCCAACACGGCTAGAGACTGACTGGCACTAAAATATCAGTTCCGATGAGTGTTAAGAATGCTTTTTGGGAAGTCTGATAACTAAGCCACTTTCTATATCCTTGTTTCTGTACAAAAATGCATTCTAAGTATAGGGCACTCACTACCACTGCTAGACCAAGGCCTTGCTTCACTCCCAGCCAGCAGCCAACCCCACCAACATTTGCAGGACTGGGTGGTTCCTCTTTCTTATTCCTGGAGGCTGGCAGTGAGGTCTTACTCAGTCTCACACACAGAAACACACACACACACACACATACACACACCCTGGTAAGAGTTAAAACCATCTCAAAATCTGACATTCGAGTTCCCAGTTAATGTCAACATCAAAAGTGAAGAAGAATGATGAGCTAATTGCAGTGCTGTTGCCACCAGTGAGCTCATTATTGTTCCAGAAACAAAACTCAGAGAAATCTTTCCAAAAGGATTTTCAAATGCAGAGTTGAGAAGGCAAAGAAGGCCCATGACTTAGCATATACACTCTCGCTTCTCTCACAATCTCCTCCCTCTGACCTTGAAGTTTACTAATAAGACTATCTGAGCACTCCACTCATTCGCATATTGTGTCAAAATGTCAGGTGCATCAGAAAAGCCCAGTAGACATGAGCTAATGTTATTGATGTTGTTGTTGTTGTTACATATTAGGAAAGGTTTCTGTGCCGCAAAATGTAACTACGTGCCTACTCTAAGGACACCCCAAACAGTGTAGTTCTGCTGGTGGTCACAGAGGAGACCAGTGGTCTCATGCAAGAAGTCAGTTTGGGAAGTAGTGAGCAGAACTCAAGGCAGGGAGGCTCAGTGTCCTTCCTTCTCTGTCTCAGTCTGACCTTCATTGTACAGCGTCACTATCTTGACAGAAGTGGATGCCTCCAGCACCTCTTCCTTCTGTAAGGAAATTCCCAAGTTCATTCAAACACCCAATATAAATGACTTCTCTCAGACCTTTTTCCTATCCTTCCTGTGAAAAGCAGAGGAAAAAAGGGCAGGGTTCTGCCAATAACACCTGACATTGGAAGTAAATAAACTTTTACTTAGATGTGCAGCACAAAAGAACATTCTGACAGAGTTTGTTTTTATGAAATGAGCTGCCACATGGGACTGTGAATTGTCAGAGAACAGAAGGTAGCAAAGCGTTGAACTTCGGTTTCTTTCAACTTGGAGTAGCGCTTATTGACTGAAGAAAGGTCAGTTTGTATTTCTGCATGCATACCTAAGGCAAGGTCTTGGGTCACAGAGAATTCCAAGGCTGTGGGGCCTGACTGACCAGTGTCGCCCCAGCTCCCCACAGAAGCCCATAGTTCTAGGCAAATGCCACACTATCAACAGCCCTAACAGCAGTGGAAGAGCACGGACTGTTGGTGCTAGAGGAAACCCTAAAGATCCCTGAATGAGCAGCACATTCCTCTCATTTCACAGACAAGAAAAATAACTAGTATTTACATTTTTGCCAAATCAGATAGCTGTTGTGTTACACAAAAAAATCTAGAGTGAATAAGCAATAGCTAGTGACAGGGTGTAAGAAATCTTCAAGGGAGGAAGACCTAAAGCAAGAAAATCCTATCAGCTGGCTTAATTTTCCTCTGAAACTAAGAAATGAAGGAGTGCTATTTATGTGATTTTAGCAATAGAACAGCTCACCTGGCTTTCAGAACACTGGGTCTGGGGGGTGGGGGAGTGGGAAGGATTGCTTTAGAAGTATGAAGTTAAAAGAATAGTAGGATCATCCTAAAATCAGATTCATCAGGATCTCCTGTCTTTGCAAACAAGTTGAGGACAAAACCTTCAATGAGCTTGAAGTTCATTATCTCTCAAGTCAACCTGCTTCTGGCCTCCTCGCTGATCACATGTCTGTGGGACTCAAGTAGCCAGGCTAGCCCACAAAAGCCTCTTAGACTCCTTAGCAGAGCTATTGAGTGTATTTATCACCCCACACAGTGCCTTGAACGTAGTAGGTTGTGGGGGGACTCTGCCCTCAGGGACCCCTGGTTACCACGGATGAGAATAAGTCTACCACGGATGAGAAAAGTCTACCAAGACATGATCTGCTTGGGCAGGAAAGGTGACCAATCTCTCAAAGAAGAGCCTAGAACCTGTTCCTCAATGGGCTTTTATTGGGTTAAATTGCATAGGAATACAGGGTAGATATGTAAAGCTCATCAATCATTGTCAGGCAGAAATGATTAAACAATAGATGGTATTCAAAGAACTCTGAGGGCTTATTCTGAATCAGGGTCAGATAGTCAAAGGGCCATAAAACTTTGGGCAACAAACTCATTTCCTGCTGGATCCTTATCAGAAAATTGAGAGAATTCTTAGTAAAGCAGGTTTCATGGGATTTTATGCATTCTTTCTTAGGCCTGATCAACCTGGGGAACCCACCCTTTCCAGCACAGGGCTGCACCACCCTCTGTCATTGTTTCAGGCTTAAGTCAGGCAGGGGAAGTAAGGCAGCCAAGAGATTAGGAGACTTCTCGAAGACAGAATGAGGACTCAGGCTATGGCAAAGCCAAGGGGCGAGGGTCCATCACCCCCTTTTTCTATAGACCCCCAAGTCCTTCCCTGGGGGGCCCCTTCATGACCAAGCCTGTCTTAGGTTGTCCCTCACTTGAGGAATCTTACCTGTCATTAGCTAACTGGTCAGGCTTGGGGCCAGCAGGGTGAAGTAAAGAGGACAGAGGCTGCACCCCTGCCTGGAGGATAACCTTTATCTTCTTAGTGGCTTATGGTCCCAAGGTCTTTTTACTCAGCCTTAGCCATGGAGGGTTACAGCTTCTGAAACCAGGCAGGGTGGTTCCCAACAGTAGGTGCCCCACAAAATTGTGTTGAAGGGGTAAGTGAATGAGTCCTCATCATCATTGTTTCCTCCTTAAATGTGAAGATTAGTTGGGATAAACATCTCAGCCTCCGAGAATGAAGAGTAACCCCTTGGCCTTCCCCATTATCCTCCAGTCAATGACTGTGTATGTGTTTATGTAAAATGCTCATTTGTCTACCTTGCTCATTTATTCATCATTCATGTATTCATTCAATAACTATTGTGCTAACAGCACAGTACTGTTTCAATGAAATAATTAAAATGAGGTACCTCATCTCCTAGAGGAGCCTCAGCTCCTGTGGGGACCTCACTGCCCTTGCCTCTTTGGGACTCAGCAGAAAGAAGCTTCCAGAATTGCTGGCATGTAGGGCTTCACTCTGCCCTGCAAATAAGAAATATACCCAGCTCAGACCTGGGGAGCACTGGAGCAGGGCCCCACTCACTGTCCACTTGCCTCCTACATCACTCTGCCTGCTGACAGTCCTCACAGGGCTGTGGAAGAGGCTGCAAAACTTGGTCTAAGGACAGAAGCAGTTTCTTAAATAGGGGCAGAAGGACAGGATGACAATGTAGGCTCAGTGATTATGTATGAGAGCCTTCATTGATCAGCAATCTTGAAATCACTATGTGCTCTCTCTTCTCACTCTCTTCTCACACATATACTTTCAACATTCTTACCAAAAAAATAAATATTTGCACATGATAAAGCATAAGGTGTAATGGGATACCTATGTATATTTAAATGTAGCTTTCCCTTCTTCCCTAGACTGCTAACTCCTCCATCCCATCCCTAGATGCAAACACTAATATTCCTCAAAGATAATGCTTGAAACAAGTGCATGCACATGGCCATGCACACACATGGATGTTTGTGTGTATGTGTGTATATGCATTTTAAGTAATAGTTAACATATAGAATTTAGAGGTCAGGCTCCCAGAATCCAGAGGAGGGTACAGAAGGGTAGAAGGTATATCTGGAGGTACAAATCTGGCACACCAAGGTTGGCAACAAGATGAAGAGCGGGGACATAGTTATGCCACCCCTGTGGCCCACTTCTCACTAGCAAAAGGTGCTGAGCTATCTCTCATTATAGGAGGCATTTAAATCATGGTGAGATGCTGATGACAAGGGAGCTGGTTTTAGGGGAAGGGCTGATCACCACCAACATGGCTTCTTAAAAGTTCAGCAAGACCACACCCTGCCACCCTAGTCCCACCTCTAACCCTGTCCCCATCAAGGACGAGAAGATGCCAATTTGGTGGCCACTGCTCAAAGTTTTATGAGCCATTTCCTAAAGAATGTGGACATCAGCTTTGGTGAGACGATATTATTTTGACCTGAATTGTATCCCCACCCCCACTCCCCCACCCCACCCCACCCCACCCCCGCCAAAGAGAATCAGAGCATTTGGGAGTAGCTCATAAGGATTCTGGCGGCAGTGCTGTCACTAAAATGCCTCACTGAACACTGAGCACACTCTTCTTTTTGTCTTAATTTTAAGCCATTGCTCCCTTCCGTCCCCCACAAGTATTGTTCCCTGTAAGTCTCTCTCCAAACTTCCATTGCAAATGACACCATCCCTTTTAAGTTTAAAAAGCTCAGAGGTGGTAAAAATTAAATAATAAGAGTAAAGAGTAAATAATAATATTAGCTGCCATTTGTTCTCATTTCTACTGTAGGACACAACGTTTTTATCCTTTTTTTTTATAGGTAATGAAACTGAGGCTTGGCATAGTTAAATGATTTGCCCAAGATCACATAGTTAATAAATGGCATTCCTGGGGCTCATACCTCGGGGCTGCCTGGCCTCTACTACCTCAGAAGACCAAGAAGCAGAATGAGGGGTCCACGTGGCAGCTGCCCTCTCCCCACCAGCTCACACCAGATTTGGGGTTGGAGAATCCCTAACTCTGAAGATCAGCCAGGTGTACCAACAGCTGTTGCTGACAGTGCTGAACAAAGTGCAAATGTGCTGTGTCCCACTAATAGGGGGAGGTAGAAGGTAAAAATCTCAGGAAAAAAAACACTGGGTTGGGGGTCCGATTCTTTGATGTTGGGCCACTTATTAAACCCCTCTGAACCTTCCTCTGCTCATTGAAGGATAGAGTCAGTAATGGTGCCTGTGTCACATAATGTTGCCATGACATTTAGGTGAGGTAACGTATATAAAGCCCTAGGCATATCACCTAGAAGACATTGGTTTGCTTCCCATTTCTCTTACAAGAGGGGCAAGTTCCAGTCCCTCTCCTGAGCATTGGAGGAACCTCAGCATCTGCTAGTGACAAGACAAAGCTACAAGACCTTCCTAAGAAGGGTCGGCAGGGGCACTCCAGGACATAGAACAGGGGCAAGGACCCTCCTCAATTCACATTGCCCACAGTGACAATATCCTTTCTGGCCCTCTTCCCATCTCACCCCTGACTGTCACTGAAATTCCTTGAAAAAGCAAATGCTGTCTCATATTCAGCCACCATCTGCCCTGTAGCGCAGATTCAAAATGGACACCTGGCATTCTCAGCAAAGAAGGCTTCTTCCATTCAGTGCACTCAACGATCCTTCCTGGGGGCTGCATCCCTCCCACGAACCTCTGGCCTGCTGCTCAGTGACACTTGCCCCAAACTCCCCGCCTGCATTCCCCTGTGGCATGTAGCACAGCATATCGAAGGGATCATCTGTCTTCTAGACTGGGAGCTCCTTCAAGGGCAGACATAGTGTCATTGGTCTTCACTCCCCCAGTGTAGAGCAGTGTCTGGCATGTAATCACTGGTAAATTTCCTTTTAAGTGAACTGTGAGCAACACAAAGGTGAGTGAGAACTTGCAGACCCTCAGTGAACTGACAACACAGGTGTCTGGGACTGCATCCCCCACCCCTCAACTTAACGATCAGGACGTGTGTGCTGGATACGTAAAAGAGGCAAAAGTAAAGGGCTGCAAGGCACAAAGGAAGAAAGAGTTGTTTCTGAATGAGAAACTCAAGCAAGCCTCCTTGGATAAGGCAGTCTGTGAACCAGGACATGATGAGGGTGTAGGTGGGACCAGAAATCCCTGCTTCTCAAAGTTCCATGTGCATTAGATGATTTGGGGCTGTATTTTGTGCTCCCCACTGAGGCTTTTATTCGGCAAACTGCTTTGCTTTCTCCTTTTCTCTCACTCACAGGAGATCCCAGTGTCTGCTCCATCTCCAACCCTGATTTTGTCATCTACTCTTCAGTAGTGTCCTTCTATCTGCCCTTTGGAGTGACTGTCCTCGTCTATGCCAGGATCTATGTGGTACTGAGGCAGAGGAGGCGGAAACGGATTCTCACACGACAGAACAGTCAGTGCATCAGTGTCAGGCCCAGCTTTCCCCAACAAGTAAGCTCGTAGGAGGGGGAGAGGGAAGACAACACCCCACCCCATGGCCTCCCAGCTTTGTGTTCAGCAGAGCATGTTTTTGCCTAAACTGCCACACTGGAGACACACGTATGACCCCCACCTTCTAATCTGCTGGTATCGGCTCTGCTTTAGTGGTAGGAAACCCAAGCAAGAAGTGCATCGATAGTCTTTTCCTAGAGCACAGCTTATTTGGCAACACGATAAGATAATTTCTGGGCTTCTCCTGTTTCCCTTCAAAGTCTTTCACTGTCTCCAAAGGGCTAGAAGTTCAGGTGTCACATACAGGGTGTAAAGTTTTAGGGTGACAGTTGTACCATGCACTGCTGGTATGTTCCCATGATTCACTTTCTGGCTAGATCATTCATTCCAAGAATCTTTGGAGTCCATCAGAATCTCTTTTCCTTATTAGATCTGCCCCTGTAACAAGACATCGATGAGGTGGTAGAATGGGATTCTGGTGACACGTTTTGGGGTCTTTTTAGGCTCTGAAAAAGAGGGTTATTGCTTCAGCACTGACCTTCTGATTTCTTGGGCTTCAAATTCTGCTTATCCCAGTGCCCAATGTCATAGTAGTTTACCCACGAAGTACTGGAAGCATGAACAGATGGATACCAATCACTTGCAATCTTCTAGGGAAGGGATGGCAAGAATATTATACAGCCTCTGCCTTCATGGAGCTTGGACTCTAAACAAGCAAATAAAGCCCACTTCTACCCCAAGTTATTGAACAACCCAAACATTTGGGTTGTTCAATAACTGAACACCACTGAATGGGATGTTTGCCAAATGTGAAGTGAAGAGAATTGAACACCTGAATATTAAATGCCTTTGAGGTTATGAGAAGAGAGAGTTCCACATGCTCAGGAAAGAGGTTTGGGGACAAAGAACTGAATTTGATCTTGAAGGCATTTGGATGTCCAGATCAATCCGAGTGAGGGTCAAACTCTCAAAGCTGAAGTTCCAAGGCTTGGGTAGAACAAGGATATAGGAGGTCAGCACTAGAGGATGAAGATACACGCATATTGTGTTTAAGGCATTGTCATCTATATGGCTCAACTGTATAGAGCTTAACCCACAATTATTTCTCCTTCAACTCACCCTAGTCTTCCTGTCTTCGACTACACCCCATTCGACAGTTTTCCCTAAGGGCCAGATTTCCATCAGATGCCACAGGGAAAATGGTAAGTAAACCATGTCTTTAATTGTAAGGAAAAAATAAGAGATCTTTTCTCAAAGATGCTGGCTTGACTTGATTCCACCTCCATCCCCAAATGGAATCTAGCCATAATCCCACACTAGTATCTATAACAGATCTGAGATTCTGCCTCATTTGAACTTCAGAATAGGAATCACCAAGTGAAATCCAGAAAGCATATGATTATTGCAAATGATCCCAATGACTGAAGCCAAAGACTCTTGGATTTGGTGTGAGGATGCCATCCAGAGCCACTTGCATTAGTGGGAGTGGGGTGTTAGTGAAGCATACATGAGCAGAGCCAAGAAAATTAGAGAAGGGGAGGCTAACGTGAGACTTTCAAGTGCCCTCTTTGCCATTTAATATGGGGACAAATGAGATAATTTCATGGTCACCCTGAATCTTGTCCTTCCAACTCAAGCCAGCCCTGCCTTCCTAAGCAAGCTTAGTATAAAATGGAGCCTGGAAGTGTTAAATATAAGACCAGTGTTCCTCTCCCTAAACTCCACAGCCAATTAAATATTAGGAATAAAGCTTCAAACACCCATGAAGAAGGTCTGAGGTTTGTCCAATCTTTGTATGTATAGTTAATTAATCAGTTTTTAAACAAGCCTCGTATAGCAGAGACTCTTGCTGTAAATTATTTATAAAATATACATATGTATATATATATACACATATATATGTATATATGTATACATATGTATATACATATGTATAAGTTGCCTTTAGCAGATTTAAGGTTGGAGGAGTCACCAAGGCCAAAAGGAGAAAAAGTGGAGAAAAAGTGAATATTATAGTATCCACTTGGTTGGTTGGCTGGTTGTGAAATGTGCAGTGAAGACAATTGAGCACCAAAATATTAAATGTCTTCGAGGTTATGACAAGAGGGAGACCAACATGCTCAGGTGACTGGGTTGCTGACACTGCTAAGGACATATTAGAGGACCAAGAGTCTGCATTGCCAGGAAAGTGGAGAAAGGCTTCTGTCCTGCCGCCTGGGAGTGGAGGGCTCTGCCAGCCAGACTGAGAGGGGTCCAGGGTTTCCCGGTGCCAGTTTTGGAGGTAGTGATTAGGGTTCATAGAGCCAAAAAAGACACTCAGAAATATATAATCTTAAAAGAATAATTTTCCTTCCATAGCACTGAATTTCAACATACTGTAAATGGAGACAGGGTATACTAGGTCAATGTTCTCAAATCCGAGATTGTATAAGCATTCTCAAGAATTTGTCCCCAGTGTCCTAGACTCAGAAATAATGTATTGCAAGTTAAATATTGTCACTTTTAGAAGATCACGAGATACCAGCACAATCATAAACATAATCACACTCATTCAGCTAAAACATAATAAACTTATATTAATAAGTAGAAAACTCCATCAAATTGAAATCCAAATTTTTTTAAAGTGTGTTATACTAGAATCCCTATAGATACTTCTGTGAAACACAATTTTAAAATTTTATATAATCTTGAAGGTCCCTTGCATTGATTCATTCAACAACATTTCTGGATGCGTACAGTGAACTAGCACTCTAGCACTATGTATCTGGAAGACTGTGATTCCTTGAACTAAGGAAAGATAGTGGGGGTTCTTGGTTCCTCATACTAACTTATGTAGTAAAAGGAATTTACTGGAAGGAGATCAGGTAACTCAGACTCATGAGAAAGCTGGAGAACAGCTTTAGAAGTTACTGTTCATGCCTAAGGAAGAGTCTGGTAGAAGACTGGACATTGACCGCCACCACTGCTGGATAAATTCTGAAGTCTTTCTGCTTTACCAGCCCCCATTCAAGGTCCTAGGTGGGAATCTCCAAAAGGTGGGGCTTGGTTCTTGTCCCAGAGTTCCAGCTGCTGGGTGGGGAGGAGGGGGAGAATGACTATCTGGTTGACGTCTTCAGTTATGGGATTCTGCTGGCTACTCAAGGTTAACAGTGTCTGATTCTTCAAACAGGGAAAGAAGTTCAGATGTTGAGCATGCACATACTTGCCCTAAATACCAGAAATCTCCACATACCTTCAGTTTTCTACTCCGAGTCTACTGATCCCAAAGCCATTTTTCCCAATTTCTTTTCTGTTTTACAAATGAGGCTTAGAGACATTTAATTAACTTGCCCAAAGATACCTCTACTTAGTAGAAAAGCTGAGATAAATATCCTGGGTTTTCCTTCATTTCTTAACTTTTTATTGTGGAAAATTTCAAAAATAAAAAAAGTAGAAAGACAAATATAACAAATCCTTCATTAGCCATCACCCAATTTCAATAATTATCAACTCATGGCCAATCTTATTTCATCTGCACTCCCACCTACATTGACATACACCCACTGGATTATGAAGCAAATCCCAAACATCACAGCATTTCAACTAAAAATATTTCTATAAGTTAATAAAGAATATGAACTCTTTTATAAAACACATAATCACAATGCCACATCAAACTAAGTAAATTAATAATATCCCTAATTCCCTAATATTATTATCCAATGTGCAGCCCTGGTCAGGTGGCTCAGTTGGTTGAGCGTCATCCCATACACCAAAGGGTCGAGGGTTCAATTCAGGAGTGTAGGTTTGATCCCTGGTGAGAGTGTGTACAGGAGGCAACCAACTGATGTGTCTCTTTCACATCATTGTTTCTCTCTCTCTCCCTCTCTCTCTTTCTATCTCTCTCTCCTTCCCTTCCCTTCTCTCTAAAACCAATAAGGATATCTTTGGGTGAGGATATATATGGAGGGACCCCCCAAAATGGAATTTATTTATAAATACCTGTATATTTATTCTTACATGCTTAAACTTCAGTCACCTTCCAGGTACTGTCCATGTGATACAGTTCATCTATAGAGACATTTTGTCCACTGCTCAAAACAGTTTTTGAACTTGTTGATTTTCACACCTTTTAGTGATTCTGCTGTTTTTTGTTTCACCTCTTCCACATCAGCAGAACATTTCCCTTTGAGGACTCTTTTCATGGGGGAAAACAACAAAAAAAAGTTGCTCAAGGTGAAACTGAGTAAATGGGACATGGGGGTCATGCTGTTTTTGGTCAAAAACTGAAGAACATTCTGTGAGGTGTGGGCAGGTGTGCTCATAAGTCACCTATTATGAAACGGGCAAATATGTTGAAAGAGTCTTTAAAAAATAATTCACTGAAGCCAAACACAGCCTCTTACAAGGCCAGCTGGTACCCTGATACAGATGGGCTCCTAGAACATTCATCTCGCTCGGGGTGAACTACAAGAGGCCTGCCCTTCAGAAGATAATTCCGGGTTTTTTTGTGCCCCCCCATGTGTATTTCCAGTGTGCAAATCTATTCAATTGTCTCATAAGTTTTTTATAGTTGGTTTTTTAAATCAAAATTCAAATAAGTCCCATATTTTGCAACTGGTGTTATTGTTGTTGATGTCACTGCAATTAATTTGGTGAAGAAACCGAACAGCTTGTCTTAAAGGGTTTACCACAGTCTACATTTTGTTGCTTACAACCCAGTGGTGTCACTTGACATGTTCCTCTATGTACTAAGCCATTTGAACTTCAAAAGGCCAGGCTATAATCCTGTACTATCCTCCTCAAGTGTTTATTGTGATTCTCAAATGTTGTATACTTGTATGTGCTAGGTACTTTTTAGTGTAGTCCAAAGCAGATTTTACTTACCTCAACTTTCCAAGGTCCTACCACTCCCAGTTATGCCCTCTGCAGTTTTACACAACATCAGATTCCCCTTCCTTCGTTGCTTTCTTTTTTTTCCTTTCAGGAACATTCAGAAGATAAACAGTATCCCCAAAAATGTCAGGACCCTCTGTTGTCACACCTGCAGCCCCTGTCCCCTGGCCGGGCACATATGGAGCTGAGGCGGTACTATAGCATCTGCCAAGATACTGCCTTCGGGCCACCAGGCTTCCAAGAAGGGGAAGGCGAGTTGAAAAGGGAGGAGAGCACTCGGAACTCCCTCAGCCCCACCATGGCACCCAAGCTCAGCTTAGAGGTTCGAAAACTCAGTAACGGCAGGTTGTCGACATCCCTGAAGCTGGGGCCCATGCAGCCTCGGGGGGTGCCACTTCGGGAGAAGAAGGCAACGCAGATGCTGGCCATTGTGCTTGGTGAGTTTGGATCAGGTTAACCTGAGTTAGGTTAGGTTGAGTTGGGTTGGGGTGAGTTCAGCAGAGCTGGCAGGTTAAGGTAACCACATTTGTCAGAAATTAGAAATCCAATAACTGTGATATTTATAAATGTTTATAACACAACTGAAAAGGGCTTATATACAAGTATTACCTGGTAGAAATCACAAGGTCTAGACTGAAACTTGTGAAATATGAAACTCAACATGTCACCTAATTGAACTGTGTTTATCCATTGTGCTTGCTGTTCACCATATGGACTTGTAATAATAGATAAATCAAATGATAAGATAACAATTAAACAAATGTGCCTGACACATATTAGATATTTAATAAATGCTTACTTATCCTAGAATATTAAGTAAAAAAAATAGCAATGCAAGAAACTACAGTCAGTCATGTGGTATGATAACATCTACATTATTTTAAATACAGAGGACGGAAAAAAAAAACCCTGAAAATGAATTCACTAAGGTGTCAAAAGTGATTGACTTAGAGTGGTGTTAGCCAGGTTATTTTTTTTTCTTTCCATTTTTCTGTAGCTACCAAGTTTGCCATAATTTATAAAATCAAAGGTAGTTTTTGAGAGTAGAAAAATGTAACATTAAATAAATATTAATTATTTAAATTAAAAATTGATAAGTCACAGACACCAAAAAATTGATAAGTCACAGTGTAGAGTTAGTGAGAGCAATTCATTTTCTTCATTATCACTGACAAACCTCACTTTCTCCTACCGTAGGGACTCTGTGGGCGCCCCTGGAAGCACTCTCCTCCACAGCGAGAGTTGTGTCGATTGCACTTTAGGGTCTTCTTTCCTATTAGCACCTAGGATTATGACTTGATGGCTAGACATTAAATAAATATTTATTTTAAATTGAGGAGTAGAGCCCTGGCTGGTGTAGCTCAGTGGACTGAGAGCTGGCCTTCGAACCAAATGGTTACCAGTTCAATTCCCAGTCAGGGCATATGCCAGGGTTGCAGGCCAGGACTCTGGTTGGGGGTGTGTGAGAGGTAACCAACTAATGTTTCTCTCCCTCCCATTCTCCCTCCCTTCTCCTCCTGAAGATAAAGAAATAAAATCTTTTTAAAAAAGATTTTAAAAAATAAATTGAAAAGTAGAAAAAACTAGTAAAGAGCTACCTAAAGATCAAACTAGAAAATGATTTAGAAACAAAGACCTAAGATGAATCAAAGACATTTTGATGTTTTCTCATCAAAAAATTAAAAAGTGGCTAATCACACCTACTTCACAGGGGCGGTTTAAAAATTAAATGGGTATGTAAAACTTCTAGCATGGTAGCTGGCATAAAGGAAACAAGCGTGAGTCACTTTCACATTATAACAAAAGGAAGAAGCAAAATTGTTACCCAGTGTTTCTTTTCCTTTGCAACCTAGGGACCTTCATTGTCTGCTGGCTGCCCTTCTTTTTGACCCACGTTCTCAATGCCCACTGCCCAGCATGCCACGTGTCTCCAGTGCTTTACAGAGCCACAACATGGCTGGGCTACATGAACAGCGCCCTCAACCCTGTGATCTATACCACCTTCAACATTGAGTTCCGCAAAGCCTTCCTCAAGATCCTGTCTTGTTGAGGGAGAGGAAAGAACACTTCCTGTGTCCACCTTCAGCCGCCATGCCACTGAGCCACTGGCCAGGGCCTGGTCACAAAGAGTGGGCCATATCCTCTGGCATGGGGAGGCAGGAGGTTGCTGGAACCAGGATGTTTCTGAGTAGCAGGTGCAACCAACTGCTTCCTCCAAAACAGAATGTTCTACCTCTCCAGCTCAAGTCTGACTTCACTCTGGCAATCTTTAGCTGGTTGGAAGGCCCCTGGTGATAAGCAATCATTCAGAAAGAAGCTGATAAAACGTGACTCTACACATACACAAAATCATCATCAAAGGCATGATTCATTTCAGTGAAGGAAAAATGAACAGATCTCATAATTCTCAACTTGCCAGGACTCCTTGAAGTCTCAGCCAGGAAGCCATCTTGCAGAACAGACAGTCTCTCTTCCTTCAAACCTCTAATTAACTGTCAGGCTAACCTTGTACTTCTGTGGGCCCACTCCCTTTCAGTAATTCCTTTCATTCATTGCACCCTGAAATATAATGGCAAAACTAATGCTGCTACCTCTTCATAAAATTTGATTGGCTATATTTGGTGAGGGGCGCCGCTTACCCTGAAGGAGACATTGTCCCACATTGGGACCCAGGCTTCATTTCAAACCTCGCTACTCCTGTATTTCAGTTCTAGCTACGAAAGCCCTTGGATTCCTTCCCCTTACTCTCAGAGTCTCAACTCCAGAGTATTCAAGATGGGATGTTAAGTGAAAAAGGAAGGACAAATCCCACTGAGGAGGTATCACTCTTGAACCTTGTAGTTCAGAACAGGCCTTAGATACACTTTTCATAATGCTATAAGGTTTTCCTACCCAGGCATCTCCATCTTCTGCTTAATAGAGACCCAGTGATCTCAGACCCTGAAATGCATTAAGCATGAAGTGTCTGTAAAGTGCCTATCACCTCCTAGGTTGTAGATACACAACAATGAGTTAGACAGATCCTGCCCACAAGGAGCCCAGCGCTGGCTCCCACGTTTGCCCATTCACTTGTTGGAGGATGGTAGGTACCTGCTCAGATGGCCAGTGGCCCTCAGAACTGAGTGTACCGGGCAGGGTGGCTGTCCAGAGCCATCACCCGGACGGTCTTGGTGAAGTCCTACCACTGATCCTAAACGTCACCCATCCAACAACTGACATTAAAGGTATATAGAAATAATGTTAGAAATAACGTTTACATGTCATTCAAAATCACATTTGCAAGGAACTTGAATATTTTCATCATTTACCTTTTCACTTCAGAAGATATTTCTTGTTGATTACAGAATCAGCATACAATTTGTGGATAATTTTTGAAGTGTCATCATCCCGAACCTCAGTAAATTTACTGTTAGCTATTAGTACATAGGCATGACATACCTTCTGCAAAGCTGTTCAACTTTAAAGTACACAAGAAATTCATGAGGGACCCAAGGCTTCCCCTTCCCCGTTCCTCTAGCCCTTAAAGTGTATGGAGGAAACACTTACCCCTGCTGAGTCCGTTACCTGTTATTCCTGAATGCTTTGGATGACAGCATTTTTTAAACGTTATTGTCTGCAGCAATGTTCATACTGTAACTTGGCAGAAAACTCTGACTGCCCACTAGTTCTTGAACCTTGTGCATTTAGCTCAACAGGTTTACGGTCCAAGCAGAACTGGGGACTGGGACAACTAAATATCTGAAGAAGTAAAAGTATGTGATTCCTAGGTTTTCCCATGCAAAGTCAATAGTAAACAGGTTGGACAGTGGGGTAAAAGGTCACAGAATTCCATGTCAAAACTAGAGTTTTAGGATATAAACATAAACAACATCATTACTAATCTATTTGTGAGGAATGATAGCAAATGTTGTGTATCTTCTCTTCACATCAAGTCATTCAACCCTACTGATAACTTTAGGAAGACAAACTACATTTGTAGGTAAGGAAGCTAAGGCAGACGGAAGTTAGAAATTTGCCCCAACTCACACACAGTAAGTGATGGAGCTGGGATTCAAATATATTTCTCTCTGATTCCCAAGCCCATGCAATTAATCACTTCCTCCCACCAGAGAGATAAAGGGGTGGGAAGAAAAAGATGGAACAAGGTTTCTGGGAGAATCTCACTTTACTCCACCCACCTCCACCCCTAGGCTTTCCTAACAACCCAGACCAAGGTATTACTCTCCCTCTCCAGACAAGTTCAATTTCTGAAACATTCACATGGGAAATCCATAATCTACTTCTACAGAATCATGGGACAGTAGTAACTTAGAGGGTATTTGGTTTGCCCTCTCCTTCATTCACAGACACAGCCTAAAACTGTTGTCCTGTGTTGGTTAACGACAGGAAAGCACTCAAGTCTGCTGAGTCCTAGTTCAGCACTCTTTCCCAAGAACCCTATAAAAACTATAAACTTCTATCATATAGATAGGAGGTGAAAGTCATGTTGTCACCTCCACCATAAACTGAGAGGTAATTTTTCCCTAAACAGTGTGTATTAGAAGGCAACATCCCCCTCCCAGAATCTCCTTCTTATCCAGGAAGACCCTGCTGGAGGAATCCCAAGCACTCGCTTCAGCCTCCTCCTTCCAGGATTCTGCATTCTACCTCCTCTACCTCCACAGTTCCTATGTGACCTCAGGGCTTGCCACTTTCAGAGCCAGCTAGGCCTAAAATCCCAGGAAAGGTGTTGGCCCGAATGAAGCAGGGCAGAGTTCTTGGGGCAAACCGTGTGTGGGCTCAAAGTAGCCTCATCTCTATCTACACTATTTGAATGAAATACAAATAGTATGGAAAATCCAAATACATTATAACCAATGTTCAATTTCAGACCTTAAGTATAAGAACTATATTTCCTTCTTCCAGGACACTATGCTCCAAAAGTCCATGCATTATTCATTAACTAAATCAATCACTTGTTCAGTAAATGTTGATTGATTGCCTTCTATGTACCAGGCACAGTGCTTGGTGCTAGGACGCATGGTGGAGGAAGACACAGTCCTTGGCCCCAGAGCTTACAGTCTGTGGGGAGTGGGGGCAGAATTCATGCACATGGCAATGACCCACTTGCTGTCTATAGTGAAGGGATTTCATGGTGTTTGGAAGTCCCATATTCTCCCTTGAGAAGGCTCCTTAGACATTGTCAGGGTTAAGACACCATTAACCTTGACACCATCAATGTCTACTGATGGGCACTAGGGCTGTTTCCAGATCTTGGCTATTGTAAATAACACTGTTATGAACATAGGGATGTATATATTCTTTTCCACTGTTGGCACATTTACACAAAGGAATACGATGCAGCTGTTAAAAAGAAGGAAATCTAACCTTTTGTGACAGCATGGATGACCCTGGAGATTATTATGTGAAGTGAAATAAGCCAATTGGTGAAAGGTAAATACCATATAATCTCACTTATATGTGGAACCTAATGAACAAAATAAAGTGATAAACAAAATAGAAATAGAGACATAGATACATGGAACAGACTGACAGTTGTCAGAGGGGAGGGGGAAGAGGAGGACTGCATGAAAGAAGGGGGAGTGATTAGCCAAAGAACATATATAAAAAAACCCATGGACACAGTGAGGTGATGGCCAGAGGGAAGGGGGGACGAGGGCAGGAGGGAGAGGTAGGCAAAGGGTGAAAAAATGGGGACATTTGGAATAGTGTAAACGATAAAAATAAAGTGAAAAAAGAAAAGAAAAGTAGGAGGGGCATTCCAGGCATAAAAAAACCTCTGAAGAGCTAAAGATAAAACAAGCAAGGAGCATGCAAGGAACCCCAAATAATCCATCTGGATGTAGAGAAGGAATCCTAAAGAGAGAACAGAGCAGGAAAGGGCCTCATCTTTGGAGACCTCCTCCAGCTTTTGCTCAGATGTCAGCTGAGCTGATGGTGACATCTCTCTCAGAAGACTTGTGGACCGTGCCTCCACTCCCCTCCCTGTGGGCAACACACATCATGCAGCAGCCAGCCCTGACTTACTTAGCTATTTCTTTCTGAGCCAGCCATGGTGAATTTCAACAAATGCAGGATTCATTTTCAATTCTTTCTTCTTCTCTCCAAGGAGGGGAATGGCTAGTTGAATGAATGTAGGATCATAGATGGTTAAAACTAACACAGTCAGAGAGTTTGGGTCAGAAATCAAGGGAGGGTCAGGCAAAGAGATTTGCTTCCCTGAAAAGTGTGGGTCAGAACTAAGCAAAGAGGCAAAAAGGCTAAGGGATTCACTCAGAACTGGCTATTTCCTGGAGATCCTGACTCCCAGGCCTACACTTTGGGCATTTAGTCTCTGCTGACATCAGGAAACTGAAAAAGCTTAATTCAAATCAACACAGAGAGCAGAGAGGGGATGACAGGCAATTAACTTGATTCCTCTTTTCTGCCTAATTCCCTCCTGATCAGGAAGGGAGTTTCCATGACTACCTCCTGACACACAGATTCAGCTGAGGGTGAGGCCAGTGTCAGCTCAGCTCTACAGCACACACACTGGCAGTGGTGGAACCTGGGAGTCTATGCCAAGCACAAGACCCTGGAACCGCTTGCTCCACCCACCCGCACCTCAAGTCATACCCAGCCTCCATCATTGTTCAGTCTGCTGGGTATGGGAGGAGAGCAGAGCTGGCTGTAGGCCTCTTAGGAACGATGTGTCCCCAGGAGAGAGCAGAGCTGAAGCACCTTATAGGAAAGACAATGAGCAGAAATAAGTCAAGGACTGGAGTTCTAGTGCTAGCATGGACAAGTGACCATGAGCAAGAGTTTTAACCTCTGCAAACTTCAACTTCCTCATTAGTAAAATGACAGAACTGAAGCCTAGCCTTCCTCATTCAACCATTAAAATTTAGGTTACATCATGTACTAGAAGTGTTTTGTCAACCATAAAGCTCTAATACATGTAAGAGATTATTATAATTGATATTGGTATTATTATTATTGTCCCTCTAAGGAGCTGTTTCTATCATAGCTATCTGGTTCACAGACCACCTTTGTTTCTCCGCTGATTCTCTA